ACTTGCACGCACTCACGCACACGTACACGTGCTCTCACACGCTCACACAAATGCACGCTCAGACACTCACGTATGCACATGCACATTCATGCACACTCATGCACACACTCATGCACTCACACGTTCACACCTGCTCATGCACTTGCACGCACTCACGTGCACATACTTGCACACACACACTCGTGCACTCAAAATGCACTCATGCACACTTGTGTACGCATGACATGCACATGCACTTGCACACACGTACACTCACATGTGCACACATGCACTCACACACATGCACGGCATTTGCAGTGTTCCCCTTCTCCTCATGCCCATTTGTCAGATGGGGAAGCCTGAGGCCCAGGAATGGACAGGGATTGAGCCTGGTGGCAATGGCAGAGGCAGGGACACGTCTTGGTTTGTGAGGTGTGTTTGGCGGTTTGCAGCGGGGAGGGCCCAGCTCAGAGCAGCTGGATGGGCAGCCAGAAACCTGAGACAGTTCTGAGAGGTTTCAGGGCTGCCGAGCACTGGGTCTGGGTGGGGAACGGTTGCCTAGGCTTCCTTCTGAGTTGCATAGCTCAGGGCCATTGAGAGTGTGGTCTGGGGACACCCACAGCACAGGTTGGGGCCCGGGTTGTCCCTACACCCCTGGGACAGGTGCTGTGTTACACTGCAGTTCACACAGGGGAATGTGCTCACAGGTGGCCTACTTGCTCCAAGTCCCACGGCTGCATGTGCAGGTGGGATTTGCCCCAGGCCCCTGCATCCACTCTCTTCACAGTGGGACCAGACCCCTCATGCTTGCCCATTGTGTGGCAGTCATCACTCTCCTGCCTGGTGTGCCACCCTGTCACTTTAACCTCCAAGATGAGTTCAGGAGGCATGGCTGTCACCTCCATGATCAAACCCCAGAAACTGAGGCTGAGACCATCATCGAACTGCCTAAGCGCCTACTAGCAGCGCCTCTGCTCAGGGAGGGTCCCCTGTGTGTCCCCAGTCTGCATCTCTTGGCCTTCTGTCTCACTAGGCCTCCTCATAGGTTCTCTAGACAGAAAAACAAGCCAGACGGGCTTGTTAGCCTGAGACCCCACCGCCCAGAATATACGAGGGTACTTCAGACAGTTCGTGGAAAAATAGAGTTAAAAGATAATACGAATCTTTCCATGAACTTTTTGAATGCCTTCGTGTTGTGTTTTGAGCTATTAATTTAGATAAATAGTTCATGCATCATTTATTGTTCTGGCCCAGACCCTGACCTGGGAAGAGGGTTGACAGGTCGGCCCAGACCCTTGTCCCCACCAGGGGGCTCGGTGCAGCCCACCCTGGCTGAATCCCAGGTCCGGTGCTCCCTGCCCTACGCACGGCTTTTCAGCTCTGCCTGTCAATACCGCCCTCTTGTGGCCACACGTCCCTCGCACCGGATGACTGGCCGCAGTTCCTTTTGACGTTTTTTTCTGATTCTGAAAGTAACATACTTAATTATTAAAAATTTGGAGAAGGAACAAAAAGAAGTGAGAGAGAGAGAGAAAAGAGAAGAAATGAAGTAAAGAAAAAAATAAGCGTCACCCATGAGTATAGTGTCTATAGTTGGGATCCCGCCATATAAGCAGGTTCAGGTCTTGAAAACCAGAGTTATCTTCAGCACTCTCCCGTGTCATTACAGCCCGTGGTGGGCACCACACCTCATTTTAAGGGGCCTGTGGCTCCCCCACAGGTGTATGTCTTGGTTTCCTTGCTCGTCCCTCTGCTCAGGGACACTGTCCCTGTCACAGCCACTTCTAGCCCTTTAACCTGGAGATGTCCAAGCTGCTT